GAAAAGAGGAAAAGAGGAAAAGAGGAAAAGAGGAAAAGAGGAAAAGAGGAAGAGAGGAAGAGAGGAAGAGAGGAAGAGAGGAAGAAACGAAGAAACGAAGAAACAAAGAAACGAAGAAGAAAAAACACATAACAAAAAAAGGAAGATAGCAAGAAAGGAAGAAAGGATGAAAAGAAGAAACAAACAAAAGAAAACACGACATAAAAACGGGAAAACAATTCGACCATGATGAACAATAACAAAAAAATTGAATATGGAAAATGTCCCTCACAACGAAGAAGGGAAGCAGGCCACTGGAACGAACTGTGGCCAATGGGAAAAGAAACGAACAGTATATTGGAGCAACCAATTGAAAACTGTCAGCCCTAAACATTTTTCCTGGAACTGTTTATTTGGGGGCAGAATAGCACAAATTCAAAACAGTTCAACCAAAAAGGGAGATCAATCATGTTAACATATCTTTGTTATCGTTTGCCATTGGTTCCTCGTTTTGCGGCTCCCTACAAGTTCTGCGTGCAATTTTCTTTGCATTCGCCTTGGCGTTAAAGATGGGGAAGGGAATTTTCGAAGATACTAAAGGTGACTTCCGTGAAGGCAATCAGTAATCAGGGCATCAAAAGTCCCGAGAATGAACGAGTGCACTCTCAAAGTTGGCAGCCTAGTTCGAAAATTGTGACATTGGGAATCTGCGCGAAGGGTGAAGCAGACCTTTCAAAGAAAAACGCTGGTGCTGTGTGCCGAAGACTTGGAGATCCTCAGCGGTTCGTGGTTCAAACCATCCCCCAGAGGTTTTGTTCAGAATGTCATCGGGGGTTGCGTGCATCAGGCCTGATGGTTCGCTTTGTTCCGTCCAAGTTCCTTCGCGGAATTTGGTGGTGAGAGGCACCAACAGCCTTGCAGATTGTGGCGACCGTTTGGCGCAGCAACTTTGCTATGGCCATTTTGGAGTTCCAGGAGGTGTGATCTCCCCAAATGTTCGCTTAAGCGGTGTTTGCGGGGTCAGTGTGATGGTCTTGCAGCTGCAGAAACCAGACAAGGGCTATTTGCTTGCCGTCAAGCCAGCAAAAAGTTTGGCACCATTTCCAGAAAACATAGTGGCCAACCGAATGCTGACCAATCCAAAACTCCGAGTGTTTGGAAGTGCCTTGTTCGTGCGCAACCCAGAACAATACTCACAGCTATTTGCCCATATCCCTGACAGAGGCAGAGGCTTTGGTACAAGGGATGCGTGGGATCGATGCCTTGTTGACAGAGGCCCGACGGCTTGCTGCAGAGAGGAGGGCGGAAAACGAACTATTCAAGGAGTTCAGTGCACCGCCATTAGCTGTTTCAGCTGCATCAGC